ATGTTATAATTTTTTTAATATAATAGCTGAATGGTGGAATTCATATGGTGATGAGTGCCCCGAGTTAAAGCGGTTTGCAATTAGAATATTGAGTTTAACATGTAGCTCTTTGGGATGTGAAAGGAATTGGTGTGCCTTTGAGATAGTAAATTACCAAATAATGCATAGTTCTAAAATTTTATTAATGTTGTAGTTTAATTTAAAGTTTTAACCTCATTGGCAATATATGTAGGTGCATTCAAAAAGGAGAAACCGGTTGCAACAAAAGAAACTGAATGATTTGGTATTTGTTATGTATAACATAAAATTAAGGGAGGCACGTGAAAAGACAAGCCGTCATAGAACCAATTTGTTTTGACGATGTCTCTTCCGATGATGAATGGATTACCGAAAAGAGGATCCGGTTCTTCCAACAAAAACTAAATAGTTGAGGGTTCTTGATGACAAAGTTTAAGAAGATGATACCGATGAATAAGATGAAGTAGAAAAGATGACTAGGATAGGTAAGAACTTTAACTTTAAACTTTTATTATAATATTGTATAAATTATTAAATTATATTAATTTTCTTTCTTTCTTTATGCTTTATAGTTGAGGAAATTTATGCAATTGATGATAATGAAAATGTGGAGCCATTAAATCCCGTTGATGATACTAATGAGGAAGATGGTGATGATGAAGAGTTCAATGATGACTTTATGGATATGTAATTTTAGTTTCTAACTTTGGAGATGGATGAGTTAGAACTCTATGTTATTTTGAGCTACATTCTCTTTTATTTATATTCGGACTTTAGAATATTTTTAGGATTTGAGATTTGTAAACTCATGGATATGTAATATTGTATGTTTTGGCCTTATTTTGGTTATATTTTACAGATCTTATTATTTAAGAAGTTAGTGTTAATTATTTTTTCACAATTTGGTAGAATCTTACGATTCCCGATCTAATTTTACGATTCCAATTCTACGGAACTCAAAACGATTCTGCGTAGAATCCCAATTTTAATAACCTTGGTGGAGGCTAATTTTGTTCCTTTTCTCAGTTGGCTATGTTGGAAATTGTAAATCTGAATTACTTTAATAACCCTAACCTCACCCTTACCTCCAGAGCCAGTATCGTGAAGATGAAAGCAGGTGATGCAAGGCTCAACAATCTAAGTGTCGTTTATGAATTTGATAGGAACTTGAACAACTGAGCTCAGAAGGCTCAGCTGCTGGTTCAACTTCCTATGAAATTCATAAATGACTATATGTCCCAATCAGCTCAAACATTTAAGTATGCATAGATAAGATTGGATTGGGATGAACAATATCCCTCACCTAAGTCAACCCATGCGTTTTAACAGGCGTGTTGCTCTTATGTTTTGCGTACATTATCGTATTTTATTAATTTTGTCTTTTCACGTACATTCTTTTATTTTATTATTTTTGTCTTTTCGCTCTAGCTCCCGTTCTTACTTTCATGGCATTAAATTTATGTAGTATTCCCTTAGTTTTTTTTTTTTTTTTTCCTCTCTCTCTCTCTCTTCAAATTCTTTTAATTTTCTTTTAAAAAAACAAAGTGTCTTTTTTGGGGGCATAATATATACATTGCATTAATGCACTTTTTTTTCTTTTATGATGGCTCTGACTTTGAGAAGCCAAATGGGCCGAGAAGTCCCATTCAAGATCAGTAGACAGATTTCTAATAGCCCATTGACAAAGGAGATGGGCTGGTTTGTTGGAATAATTTGGGCCTCAAAGAAGGTTGAAGCTAGAATGGGTCATCAAGAGATTGGGCCCATATCTTCGATGATCAGTTCAGAAATTTCAACCATGAAATTCATTTGGTATATTCTATTGTCATATCTTATTATTGACTTTGTAATATACATGTCATTATCATCATCATTATCATTTGTTCTTTATCGAGAAAAACTTTTGTTGTGCGAGTTGCATCGTACAACGGACACATCCAATTATTTATTATCGCACATGTATTATGTATTACACATACGGTCCGGGTGCACCCGCTACACGGCGCAAGGGTGTAAGGAAGTTACCAAAGTGGGTGTAAGAAAGTTACCAAAGTGAGATAAAATTGAACCAATTTCTTTGAGATTGATTGTTGGCGACAAAGCCTCAAACGATATGGTAATTGTTGGAATTGATAAACAATATACATCATCTTTGCACTTGGATTCCAGTTCTATTTTTTTGTTATGTTACAATTAATACAAAGAAATAAACAATTGATATGTGTGGAATTGTGGATGTCTCGTAAGCGTGTAGTAGACAATATCTGCAAGTCGAATCGTGACGTACAAAATAGATAATATTTACAAGATAAGATTGAATTGGGATAAAATTGAACCAACTCAGCTAAGAAGCTATCAAGTTATTCACGCAAAAGATTGGATTGGGAATAGCTATTAGGTGGGCCGTGTATGTTATGCCATTAATATATTTATCTAATTAACAAAAATGACTATGATATGCTCATGCCCCCACTCACTCAATACATTTTCATATACCACAGCAAGGATGAAGCCAATGTAAGCTTAGAGGGCACGCGCGCCTCCTGACTTGGCCCCGCCCTTTATAATGTATGTAATAATTTTTTTCATATATATATATATATATATATAATTATATTGTATCCCCTAAATTCTCTCTTAGTTTTTTTTTTTTTTTTTTTTTTTTTTTACTCTTCAAATTCTTTTAATTTCATTTAAAAAAAAAAAAAAAAGTGGCTTTTTTTGGGGCATATATATATACATTGCGTTGAAACAATTTTTTTTATTTAATGTTTATCCTCCTAACAAGACAAAGGAAATAGGAAAAAGCAAAAAGATCAACAATTTTTTTTTTTTTTTTTCCTGACAAATATCAACATTGATGGCTCTGACTTTGAGAAGCCAAATGGGCCAAGAGGTCCCATCCAAGATCACTAGAGAGATTTCTAATAGCCCATTGACAAAGGAGATGGGCTGGTTTGTTGGAAGATCTTGGGCCCCAAAGAAGGTTGAACTTAGAATGGGCCATCAAGATATGGGGCCCATATCTTGGGTGATCCAGCTCAGAAATTTCACCCGCCAGAAAAAAAGGTTGACTGACATTAGTTTGAAAATGTTCATGCTGACTTTCACAAATATAATAATTGGTTTTATATCTTATTTACTTTGTAATATACATTTCATTATCATCACTTTATTCCGTATTACAGTGTCCCTCATAAATTCTCTTTTTATAAATTCTCATTGCATAATAGAGGAATCATATTTTCCTCTCAAAGAGTCAATGACTTAACCTATAAAGCACACAAGTGCCATGCATTTGTATCAATGTTTGTCAGGGTTTGGCTCCATCTCCATGTGAATTGTTAACTCACTATTTCAACATTATGCAAGTAAACATGATCCCCACAAATCATTCAAGCTAAACACTACTCTTTAAATAGTGAACCAATATTCAACTATGTTGCTTTGCTCAATGAAATCAAAGCAAAGATAAAAATCCTTCCTTGAGCTAGCGAACATCTCAAACATCAACAATCAAGACAAAAAATGACCCCTTAAAATCCACTCAACATGGCTTGTATGTATCCTTGAAATCCACTCAACTGACTACTTCCTTGGAAATTTGATAGATATGAAGCAATGGAAACCGGTAGAGTTCCATCGACACTCACGAAATCGCATTTAAGCTTATCCGGTGGCTTAAGCTCAAGTTTATGAGTAGAATCAAGAGGAGGAAGAATAAGAGCACTTGAGATCAAAGGAGGAGGTGATTTTGTTGGAAGAATGGGGTGTGAATCCTCAACCAATTCATCAACTACATTCACACGAAATTGCTCATCTTTATCGGGAGGATGTGGAGTAGTATTGAAGATGTTCAATTTGACTTTTATGTGCCCAAACTCAAGTTTATGAGTAGAATCAAGAGGAGGAAGAATAAGAGCACTTGAGATCAAAGGAGGAGGTGATTTTGTTGGAAGAATGGGGTGTGAATCCTCAACCAATTCGTCAACTACATTCACACGAAATTGCTCATCTTTATCGGGAGGATGTGGAGTAGTATTGAAGATGTTCAATTTGACTTTTATGTGCCCAAAAGAGATCTTCATAACCCCCATCCTACAATTGATGTTTGCATTAGCAATAACCAGAAAAAGACGGCTTGTAATGACGGGTTGTGACTCTTGGGGTTCTGGACCGATTCCGTATCAAGAACTACAAAGTCTACCAGAAAGTAGAACTTGTCCACTTTAATGAGAACATCTCGCGGTTTCTTAATGGACCTATCAGCAAGTTATAAGATAACCGATATGGGTTTTAACTCTCCCAAACCCAATTAGACATACACTGAGTAAGGAAGAAGATTCAACACTCGCTCCTAAGTCCAAAAGAGACCTTTGAATTTCATGATCACCAATGATGCAAGAAATTGTAGGGGCATCGGGATCCTTGAACTTTGAAAGAGTGTTGTATTGAATGATTGAGCTTACTTGCTCTGAACAACTCGGTTTATTTATAATCCTAGAAAGGATAGAGAAAATCCGACAAGTCAAAGAGAGATTTGTTTGGCAGCTGAAACAGAGGTGTTAATTTATTCGGTCAATCTAACTAAACAATTTGGGGACCCATATGTAGGCTAAACATCTTACCAATGCCATGAATTCTTTCATGGGCAAAAATGATCCAAAGAGATAATTTGTATCAATGCTTGTCAGGGTTGGGCTTCATCTCTAAATGAAAAGAAAAGAAAAACATTTTCTACCATTAACATTGACCCATCTCAATGTTGGTATTGGTAGCGTTCATACAACTTTGTCTTATGATTTAAATTGACTTTGGATCATGTAATTTTTTTGTCACTACGGCCTCAAAAGTTCAATATGTAGTATTGGGACTGTAACTGCTAATCTTCAGGCCCAATACTTTATACAAACTTGTGGAGAATTGAAAATAACTGAAATTGGACATATTCTGACCTAATTTGCAAGAAACTGAGCATATCATTAAGAACAAATTAATCTTCAGTATATCATTGAGAACAAATTAATGTGTCTTACAACAACAAAACAGTACACCATAAAAAGTAAAGGGTTAATGTATATGAAAACCCTAACACGCTATATCACTCTGAACAAATTAAGTCGCTGCACCTTGTTTTGGCAAGGGCGCAGGACAATCCTTTTATCAAAGTTTAGGAGTAGAATGCTCGAAGGGCATGAATTGAAATGATACAACAAACAGAGCCCTTTTTGAAGCTCCTACCAGTGAATGATGGAAGCTCCTGCTTTCTTCCCATTCAAATTATAAGCTCTCCAAGCTGTACCAGAACAAACTCAAAGTCCTTTTCTAAGCCCCCGGCACTGGTGTGTTCCAAAGTAATTGAGATTCTGTTGTGGCTATCCGAGAGAGACAACAAAAAATATGCTCCCTATGTATAGGGGGGAAAGAGAATTAATTGAACACGGAAACAAAGCTTAGTTGCATATAACCAAAATAATCCCTTGGACGCATTACTTCTAGTTCGGCATTTGGGGTTCTTTGATTCGACAGAGCGTCTCCATTCAACAGCCTTCCTGTATAGGAAAAGAGGCAATGATTCATTTGTTGAGAAGCAGGAATGAAAAAGTGCCATTCATGCTGCAAAGGCTCACAGGCCACCAGTAATAATAAAAAATAAAAAGAACAACACAATAACAGTTGCAGCAGCAACGTGAGGGTACAAGTGCAAGTAACAACACAATATCGATAACAAAATAATAGCAACAGCAGGTTCGTATTCAATATGATGTGAATTTGCACAAGTGTGTGTTTGCATATGCACGCACGCGCATGCGTGTATATATATAGATATATATATATATATAGAGAGAGAGAGAGAGAGATTAGAGAAACCTGATGCCCACTGCACAATGAAGTATGCTGCCCTAATGAATAGCAAGTAACAAAATTCTGATGCCCCCACGTCATGGCAGGTCATGACTACTTAGAAATTGGATTATACATGGATATACTTGGTCCGCAGCCTGTATTTTAACAGAAACAGAATTGACACCATTACACAACCAGTGGCATGATTTTTTTTTCCCCTAGTGAGTGCAAGTTATCAAGGATGAAATTTCAGTGTAGAAGGAAAAATTAGGAATATGCACACATACCAAACGTCCTCCTACCAAATCATAATGAGCATAATGTGGACCATCAGGTTCTCCAAATACTTTATAGGTGACCAAGTGCTCAGGAATGAGCTTTGCAGTTTCTGTTTTAGGTAACAAGCAAGAAATGTAAATTAAAATAAACAAATCAAACTCTGCCAAATGGTGCATACGAGGTTATCTTTACTTGAAACGTACCATATACGGCTTCAGGTGGGCAAATTAGGTCCCTGTCTCCTGCAATTGCTAAGACAGGGACTTTGCCTTTATGCATATGATCCTTGTACAAAAATTTACCACTTCTATCACGAAGTCCGCCCTCTCGGAAAGCAGTTGTCAGTTGCAAGAGAAGTTTAGCGGGTATAGTACCTGTCAGTTTTGATTGAACTATGACTGTCAGTAAAAAGTGAAAGAAAGGAGGGAGAAGGGAAGTCGCATGAAAAATATCTGATACAGAAAACAGAATAGCAACCAAGATCTCCAACAGGATCTTTATGCTAGGAAAACATAAAAAAAAAAAAGATAATAATAAAAATCATCTATGTAATGAAGGCCTCTTGTCATCCTTCTGTACACATACCAACTATAAGGGCCCTGATTTTTCTTTTCCTTTTTTTTTTTTTCAAAAAAAAGGAAACAAAAGAAAGAAAGAATAAGGGTAATAACACTTCACCAGTGTTTAGGCCCAAAAACCCTGTAAAGGAGGAATAAGATGACAAGCTGATGAAGACATATTGGATAATTTTGTTAAAGATAACCCAAGACCTGTAGAAAGCACAGAGATAACAACTGTTGTGGAGTTTATGCCTGTTGGGAAAGAAAGTCCTTTTAGAGATGAGCTTGCCAAGGATATCTTGCAGTCCAAAGACTGAGAAATAAAAATATTGATATATATGCAGGTAAAGGCAGGCGCAGGATGGATCACAAGGTCAGGAATTGTTGCAGTCCAGCTTCTTTTGCGATATGCAGTAATATACCTCCATCTGACCAGTAACCTCGACGACATGGCAGTTGACAAACCATGATCTTTGAATATTCAATTCATGGAGAAAGACTTCACGCCATTCCTCTGAAAGATGCCCGCCAAGTTCAAGGATGATTCATGGACTATGCTGAATGTGCCAGTCCAAGTAGGTTGCCAACTCTGCACCTGTGGCAGGGTGAGTTACATTGCCTTGGCAACACGTGTAGCATGGAAGTCAGATACCTACACCACTCTACTGACCATCCTCAATCCAATAACATTCTATAAACTTGTTTTGCAACTGCCAACTGCCTAGCATTCTGTATCAATGAGCAGTCCAGAGGGTACCTCTCTATTTCTCCTTTTCTTATTATTATTATTTGGTGATAAATAAACCCTTCCATAAGTTTTTTCAAGTAAAAAAGATCTTCTCAGAATTTAATTGTTAGTTTTATTTCTAACCTTTTGGAACCACCTTAATAAAAGTTTTAAACAAGAAAAAAGAAAGAAAAAGAAGAAGAAATAGTATTCACGGCTAATTTCAGTAACACAAAGTCAAATTGATGTCATTGTGATTTAATATATTATTTTTTGTTAAATCAATCTATCCCAACATTTTCCATAGTAGGACTCCAGACATTGATATCAAGATTATTGGTGCAACAGCAACTCCAAATATCTCCACAACTTATTACTTGTATAGAAATAAGCACAATGCTTTAATTTTTCCTTTATTATTTTTTTGTTTTTTTGTTGGACAAGCATGTTTTTAGTCCCTTCATATGATCAAGATAACTAATATTATTTTATGTGCCACCGAATTCGCAACATAAGACTCGAGGTTCCCCACTATTATTACCTTCAAAATTCATTATGAAAGTCAAAATACTGATATATCCCAAAGCAAAATCAAGGATATACTTCAAAAGGCATACGTCCATGCATTCCAAATTGTGGCACAAGTGAATCACCACCACCATAATTTTGCAATTCATTCATAAGGCAGAGGAATATCTGTACTTACAGAAGTTGTTAAGGACAAGCTTCTTCAACAACTCTGGTTGCATCATGTTCTCAGCTGATATCAGATTATTAAGCCAGGACAAGACATAAGGAGGACTTGTTGAAAGAGGATAAGATGCTGCCAACAATGCCCCTAAAGGAACAACAGGCACATTCAGAGCCTGAGCAGGATCAGCCTGCATCATAATAGCTTTAGAATTACTTTCATAAAAAAGGCTTCAACTTAATACATTCAAGTATAATATTATATAATTTTTTGATAAGTCACTTACGAATAAAATTATTGAGGTAGAGTACAAAGAGAAGATCCAGAAAACTAGATTTTCATCGACTTACAAGGGGAAGGAGCAGTTTGAGTGATGAATCTGAAGATGTGTAGTCAAGTGATGATGCCAAAGTAACAACAGCTGCCAATCTATGGTCTCTTCCTTCATAAGCTTCAAAGATCCAATATGTTAATACAGAAAATCACAATTATAAGAAAGAAACTATGAAATGAAAAAACTGAAATGGAATTTTAAATAAACATATTTTACAAACATCTCAATTTCAATTCTGATAGTAGCAAAACTAATTGTAACAGCTGACCATTTTTTCTACAAAATAGTAGGATTATATTATGTAAAGGCAAGGCATCATTGATGAAATCAGGACATTACAGGCAATATAATTTGCCAGTTTACCATAGTTGAATGTGATCCTACTAAAGCTGCACCAGTTTATCGTTAAGGATGGAACAATGGTTTTATCTAAGTGATGCCATAGCCCTTACCAAAATACTGTGTAGTGTTGCCAAAGTCAACATCCATTCCCAATATTTGCTACGTATTAATAACAAAACTAAGCTTTAGCAAAATAATGGTTGTAAGGTGTGCTAGCTTTCAACCTCCTATTTAGGAATTAGGGGGCTCCTCATTCAAGGCTAAAGCAGTTTGGGATACATTTCTTAAAGGTTTCGAAGGAAGTTTGTGGATGCAAGTGGTAGGTAGTCTTTACCAAAAGGGGTAGGTTAACTTTATTAAGAGTATATTATCGAGCCTCCCAGTTTACTTTATGTTCATTTTTGCATTTCAGACATTGTCCAAAAAGAGGCTTGAACATAGAGCCTTTCGGAAGAGGGCATAATGAAGAGTTTGATTTAGTTGTTCAGACATAAAGTGTGCCCTTTGGCCAACAGTCGACGTCGTTGAGTAGAAGCAGAGTTTTGCTCTGGAGAGGAAGAATTTGTGGCATAAGATAGTGGTGCGACTGTAGGGGGTTCCTTTGGGTGGGTGGGTGCCCAGAGAGGAGGGTATCTCTTATGAGGCAGGTCTTTGGAAGAGTTTTATGAAGGATAGGAAGAGATCTCTAAGCGCTTGTTTGGTTTAGTTCTCAGAAAATAGTTCTCAAAAAAGACTTCTTTGCAATTAGACATTTTATTTACTCAATTTTCAGAAAACTATCAAACAAATAAAATCAACTCTGAAAACAAAAAACTGTCTTCAGAAAAAACTAAAAGACTGGTCTATGAAAAAAACCTTGTTTAATTCAGTTTTCATAGAACAACTTTCAAAAAATTGTTGCTCAAATGAATTGAACCCTAAAGATAGAAAGTTGTTTTTATGAGAACTACCAAAAGATTCTTCTCTAAAGCATGGCATTTTTCTTTTCCAATCCACTTAGGGCCACCCCAGGAATTTCCTGGTAATTGCCTAGTGCATGTGGGACAGAGGGGACTACATGTCTGTGGTGACGTACTATGGGGGTGCTCTAAGAGGCTCGACACCACCATTGTTGACCCCAAAAAAAAAAAAAAAAAGACATTTTTTTAACTTAGTTTTGTAAAAAAAATTCAAAAACTGTCAACCAAACGATTTTTCAGCTGTATTATACTTTTTAATTCTCAAAAGACAACAAGCAACAACAAACAAATCCTTTTTCCAACTTCTTGAGGTCAGCTACAGGAGACCTATTTTTCCATTCTACTCTATTTAAGGTCATAGCATCAGTCAAAGCACAAGTTATCGTATCTTTCCCATTTACTTTGGTCTTCCCCTTTCCCAAGTATTATACTCAATGTGAATCATGACGCTCTTACTAACAGATGCATTTAGTAGACCTCTTTGCACATGCCCAAACCATGTTAATAGATTTCTCTCATTTTATTTGCAATGGGTGCTTTTTCACCTTCTTATGAATGTGCTCAACTCTAATTCTATCATTTCTTGTCTTGCCGCGCATCCATCTTAATATTCACATTTCTGCTACATTCACTTTGTGCTTAGCTGCTTAACTGTCCAACATTCTGTTCCATTAAGAATGTCCAGTCTTATAGCTGCTTTATAAAAATTACCTTTCAATTGTAAAGGAATATGATAATCACACAATATTTTAAATGCACTCATTTAACCCATCTCGTCTTGATTCTATGATTAACATCCTCTCCAATTTCTTTTTCATTGTGAATAATTGAGCATAACTTACTTATCAAAAAAAAAAAAAAAAAAAATTGAGCATAACTAGCGGAAATGTTGACCTTTTGGTATCTCTTCATCTTCAGTATCCAGTTCTCAATAAAAAATAAGAAAAAAAGATAAAATAAAATAAAAAACTATTCTCTAAAAAAGTACTTTACTTTATGGTGGACAATGGTATGGATGTCAATTCTGGTAGGATGTCCGGTGAGGGAAAGTGTCTTTGAAGGAATGATTTCCAAATCTTTACAAGATGAGATGGATAAGGGAATTATGAAAACAAAGTTTATTACCATATGCATGGAGCGGTTTGAAACCCCACTTTCAGGAGAGCTTTTCAGGACTAGGAGTTGGATTTAGTGAGAGAATTACTTGAGTTGCTTCAGGGGGTAGCTTTCATGGAGGGATAAAAGATTCAGGCAGGTGAAAAGTAACCAAAATGGTCCAAGAAAGATCCTAAATGTAGCATTCTAACATGGCTGCAAATATGGAGGCTATAATTACATTTGACCTGTGGCCAAACTTCTGTTTCAGAGTAGAACCATCACACCAAGGGTCATCAGATAATTTAACAGCTGCTCCATCACTAATCCTATATTAAATGTTCTCAGCAAGCACATCTCTCTCTCAAATATTGAATACCCCGGGGGTACCTACTATGTTGTACGCCCGGCTAATGAATATTCATTGTTTCCCTTGATAATAGGAAATAGCAACTAACATATTGGCCGGGTACTACATTCTCGGTACTACCGCGGCACCGAATACTTTTCAAGGTGCAGGACATGGCGCTCTGTCATATGTGGTATATTTGAATGGGAAAAATAAAAAACTAAAAATAAATAAATAAAGAAAACATAGGACTTCTCTGAAGTGGTTGAGATGCAAATTCCTGCATTGAAGCATAGTCTTTTGAGAATAATGTACATCTGGAGTCCATTTCCATGGCTAAGTTTAGAGGTATGCCCCCTTCCCTCTATTGCACTCTTGTACTTTCTTTTAATATAAAATCCATTTAGGAAAAAAAAAATGTACATCTAGAATGTAGAGTACTATCCCATATTAATAGATCATTTTATATATTTTACAAAATATGAGCCTTTGCTCTTGATCTTGTGCACAGCTTTTATATACTTCATGTGTAAATATATTACATCCCTGTTTTCTAGGGTCTTTAGTGAAATATACTTGAAAGGAAAAAAAAGTGTGTCCTTCATGAATATAGGATGAGAAACTTTGGTTAAGATGGCCAGGTGATGTGTAATGAAGATCAATGACAACACCTACAATCAAGCTGATTAATGGAAAGAGAAGGAAAACCATAAAGATTGCGCATCAAGATAGCCAAAGAAGATATGATGCACTCCGATCAAATCAAAGATATGCGTTCAGGTTTTCAACACACAACTAAATTGCAAACTAATGTAACCAGCCCGAAATAGTAAGGTAAGGGTAGAACCCAACATCTAGGCAAATAAGAAGTCTTGGACTTTCACCTGTGCAACTCAAAAATATAGTGAGAATGTAATAGCCGGTTATTTAGAGGGGTGAAGTCACCATTTTTGAATTGGCAAAGTAGTCACCAATTTTGAATTGGAAAAGGTCATACATCACATGTTCATGGGTTGCATAAAACAAGTTCTTTTTGTTTTTTATTCTTTTCTCAAGTGCATCCATCAGAGCTAGATTAGATGCCACACCACCATTTAGATGCACCTCTTATTCTTAGTGCTAAAAAAGTCAATATTTTTGCTGCCAATCTATCAGAAGTTTTGACTCTAGTTTTTAATCTAGTTGTTGTTTTATCTTCTGCTGATTGGTGCTGCTGAATGTGAGCACGGGCTTTTGTATGGAATAGTGTAATGTACTGACAGTAATGTGTGGTAAGACCATAGAGGCTTAGACCTATCCAATTAGTCTTCTAGTACGTATTTCGAGGCAAGGGCATGTTTAGGGGAGAGAGGGAGAGAGAGTTGATTGCAGCCCTTTGGTTCTCCTTTCCTAGATTTGTCTACCAATCAGAAAACAAATAATGATATAGGAAGGGGGAAAAAAAGATGAATTGTCAGGTCCGAAACTGGTTATAGCAATTCTAATAATAAATTGGACAGGGAAAAAAAAGCGGATTTCAGACATAGTATACTACCAATCAATTAAGTAACTCAAGGAAGCTAGCATACACTTCCAGAATGAGAAAAATAAAATTCTCAAATCTTACTGAACAAATATCTGTTTTGAAAGGCACAACAAACTATATATGTTATCTGTCATCAATAAAAACAATCACAGAATCATGAAACATAGAAAGTGATGTCATTATCTAATAGGGGAATGAAGCCATCTTACCACATCTTGACAGCATTGCATACAGCAAGATGCCTCCCATGGAATGTCCAATTGCAAGCAATTTGCCATCCTTTGGTTTGCTTTGGGATATTATATATTCACTCTGTAATGAAAAACTGAAGATATGAATACATTACTTGAAGGGTGGGTACAACCAGTTTATGTAACATAAAAGAATTTTTTTTTTTCCCAGCATGGATAAATGTCACCTCACCACAGCAGGAATGTCCTCTTCTAAGTAATGATCAAAGTCCCAATCATACTTGACAATGAAGTCCAGCTGTTTCTGGAAATCTTCTATTGTTGTTGAAAAACGCTCTTGCAGATCAGACAACTGAGGTGAAACAGAACGTTGACCTTCTTCAATAATATTTACAAGCTTTTGACTCAAATCTCTGATTTGGCTAGCAGCAGCAGAGTTTTGCCTTGCTTCCAACAATCTAGAAAGCTTTCCCCTTATCTCATTAAAACGATCATATAAAACAGAATCCTCTAACAGTCTCGAAATTTGATCAAATAATTTAGCAGATATAATCCTTAATTGACCTTCACTGAGAAAGCCAGAGAGTCTTTCTGCCAGACGCATAAAAGTTTCTGTCAATTTTATCACCAGTTTCGATTCATCCCATAGTGTTGGGATCCTTGTCGGATCCCCTTTGACAACTTGAGATACCGCTGAGGCAGTGGCGCCATTGTTTGGCTGTTGTTGTTCAGTAAAAGCTCCATAAGTAGCAGTTTCAGCAGCAGCTTCCATCTGCCCAGATATTGCACGGGCAGACTGCTCAATATCTTTGGAACCATTTCCTTGCATGCTCAATCCAGCACCTCGGACTTCAAGAATCCAAGTGTCAAATCCTTGGCTACACATGTAGCGGGCGAATGAAGACTGAAAACATATATAGTCAAAAACAAATAGTACAACTACGCCCCAACAGGCAAGCATCTCACAAGCTATAATTGAGAATTGGAATGAAACAATTGATGAACCACGGGCCAAGAAGATCTATGAAAAGAATTGGAATAGATCTGGTCATCATGACAAGAACTTTAAGTCAACTATTAAAAGTCACCCAGCTGAATATGACTTAATTATCTTTACAAGTTAGTCATTTATCTTTAACAAGCTGAACATGCTAAAACATAGTTTGTATTCTGAGGACATACTGCATCTATGTATTGGTGTTATCTCCTGTTTGACCTTTACATTTGCAAGATTGAGCTTCTCCGAGCTCAATCCTATCACATCGTTACAATTTCCAAGTTTGATCAAACATGAACATGCATAATTAAAAGTAAGGAAATACACGACTGTTACCAGAATCTCGATATTTTCAAAGATTAGCTTGGACATCACGTGTTGGAAAGTGTTGAAATAATTAATCAAACCCTTAATAAGACATATATAGACACATACAAAGCTATTCAAAAGCAATATATATATATATATAAGAAAAAGTGAAAAACAACATTAAAATATTTAAAATTATGTGCGTGGGTGTGTGTGTATTGACAAGTTCCAGAAATATTGCATATGAATGAGGAATAATTATGTAGAAGTATGAATGAAAGAAATATAGTTCATTCAAACTTCAGTTCTGTGTATTATTACTCAAGGACTACAAAGATCAATCGTTAGCAACCCAATAGGGAAAATCAATTTTACAGCCAACGTTACAATTTAATGCCATAGTATACCATTGACTATGGAGTAATATATAATTGACCCACATATTAATCCAGACAAATATAACACATTTACAATTTTTTATGCTGGAAATATCATGTTGTGACATGCAAGATGACAATTAGGAAATAGTGCTCAATACAGTTCTTCTACAACCTAAGTGGTAGCAGTTTTCAGTCAAACAACAATTAGGAGATAACATACAAAACCAGTTATCCTATGAACTACTCGTTGGCAATTTACAGTCATTGTAGGGATTTTTGTTATTGAAAGAAAATCTATTTTCAAGTTCACTAGATAAGTTTATAGCAAACTCCAAATGGGATAGCAGAAGCTTTTCCAAATAAAAGGGACAGATAGTACACTTCTGATGGACCCATGTGGCACGTTAGAATTTAGATTATGTAATGAGGAGGCTTTTGGAAAGTAACGGAAGAAAATGAGGCACATTGGAGAATCACGTATACAAATGAAGCTTATGCATCAAAAAGAAGAATGCAACAAAAAGATGTGCCACCATTCTCGAGATCAATGGACGGCTTCTTTTAGTTAAGACACTATTCAGAGCACTAGAGAACAGCTTGGGGAAGCTTTACAGGTATTCTAATGTAGGCTTCAATTTGAGGCCGTGTAATCCTATGAAAGACCTACGATGATGTCGTTTTGTTTTTTTGGGCCTAGTCATAGGATTTTATCAGACCTATCAAAAGTTGAACTCTGAAGTTTTCTAAGAGCAAGATTTATCCAAAAAAAATGTTTTCAAGAGCAAGATGAAGTCATGTGGAAAATTGAAAATTACACACCTCTACAATTCAAGTTCCACAAAAAACAAGTTGCCCCTTTTTCTTCTCTCTTGTTCACTAAATATGAGTGAAAAAAGATGCTTTGACATGTCCATCAAGGCACAACAGTTAAACAAAATGCAGAAGAGTAATCAAATGCATACATGCGTATGCCCTTAATATGCAGAGAGGAAAACATATGTATCAAAAAAGTAAATCATCATACAATTTAAAAGCTAACTACGAAATAGCAGACCAGATTTCGATATGTTAATCAACAATACAGAGGAGTCCCCACGTATCACTATTGCCTTTCGATTTCGGTATTTGAAGAATTGATTTGATGAATAATTTGATAAGTTACTCATACAATGTTCCAAAGTCTTCTTCCCATTATGCCTAACTAGCATTTATCAGGACTACATGTGTGTGTATATATAATTATATAGATGCAAATATACATATGGAGAGAGAAGTAAACTAACCTCGGGAGAGAGATCATATCCAATGGCATTAGTTCCCACACCCGACAAAAGCAACAGGGGATGATTTCTCGGAGGAGCCTATAATTAAACATTCAATCAAAATTAGTACAATTATAATAATTTTATCCATAAATTACATACTCGAGCACACATTCATTTGTTCAAAATTAGTACAATCAAAATATTTTTTCCCATAAATTACACACTCAAGTACACATTTGTGTGTGCATATGTATACATACATACAAGTATGTGGATCTATGTAAGAGAGAAGTGCGAGAGAGAGAGAACCTGAGGGCTAGGAGTGTATCGCCAGAGGGCAAGCCTCCAATCGGAGCTGGAGCTGGAGACGGAGACGTAATGAAGCTCGTCGGCCGTACATATCGAAGGCTTGTTCGGTACCTTCTCGACGACACCTTTAAATCCACTTTCGGAGAAAGCTCTGAACTTCTCCGTCAGCCTCGGCGGCGACGGAGGCAGGAAGACGGCGGCGAATCCGCGTGGGAGTGAGAGGTGGGGGTGACGGAAAGTGGACGGCGCAACGTAAAGCGCCGAACGAATGTCGGACCTAATCAACATTACCATAACTCTTCTCTTCTCTCTACTTTCTCTCTCCTCTCTTTTGATAAAGCATATAGATGGTAGTCCTAGTAGTTGCGGGAATTAAAAGAAATGGGTTTAAAATAGCTTTCGTGCTGCTTCTTCTATCATCCACGTCAACATCTTATGTGAGTCCAACTTTTTTTTTGTTTTGAAAGTTCATGTGAGTCCAACTTTAGTTTTCCGACTCAACATCATAGCAATGTAAGAAGAATTGACGAACTTCACTATTTTAACATCTTTGACTCAAATTAAAACCAAAGTATTTAATTTGCAGATGCTTCATTCAACCTTGATCTCAATTTAGGTTTAATCTTTGTTTGTTTCCACGTTTCTGCTTTATAATATATATATATATATAAGGGCGAATCCATTAATTGTTAATGGGGGCTAATATTAAACAAGAGGGAATTGGGGATCGAAAGATTAAAAAGTTACAAAATTTTAAAGGGAATAGGGTTAGACTTCAGAGGGAGAGAAGGTATGAGCTCTCTGATTTGGGTAAGATTAGGAATTCAGAAGTTTTCTGTGTTTTAGCTTAGAACTTGTTTAGCTTGGGCATATTTGGTTGGATCTTTGTTTTAAAATTGTGATTTAGATATTGGGTTTGTTTGGATTGGTTAAAATTGGAGGCTAATATTACTACTAATTTTTTCTTTTTAAAAACATTGGACTAAATATACCTATACCAAAAAAAAAAAAAAATTTTTTGAGGGGCCTCAAGCCCATCCAAACCCACCCTTGGATTTGCCACTTAATATATATATATTTTCTTGTGCTGCAAATATTTAAATTGAAGTCGACGAAACTTGTGAATCAAAAATTAATGAGTAAATTATTTTTATTATGTTTTAATTATTTTTATAAATATTTTAGAAAAATTAAATATCAAAAATTTAAAATAAACAAACGGAGTTTTAATGTTATATTTGAAAACTGGAAGTATTTTATTTTTTTATTTGAATTTGTTCTAAATTCAAATTATCAATTCAGTACTTCTAGATAGAACATTAAGATTTACATATTAATTTATTTTATGAATAAATTTTAATTAATTGTGAAATATCTTGGTAAATAGAAATATCTAGTGAAGCTAGCCATTTTTGTTTTGACAATTATAAGTGATTTATCATCAAATCACATATTTTTATGTGCTTTATTTATTAATTTTAATATGTTGTATAACTTAAAATAACTTGTCTAACAATTTTTTTTTTCTTTCGTCGGCAAGAGACAAACACACTAATCTACTAATCTAATTTGATCCTAGCAAGCGTAGGAGATAAATTATGTTCTTAGTTTTATTGTTGTTTTTATATTTTTTTTCCCTTAAGGGCATTTCGGTAATCTTATTTATGGGCTGCCTGGATTTATAAAAAATTATAATTATGGGCTGTGGAGCGGGCTGAAATGGTGGGCTTTTATTTGGGATTCGCTATATTTTTGTAGTTCTAATCTAATTTGTTTGGTCTGTCTCAAAAGATGGTTACAGGCCAGCAAGTTTACTTGGTCAGTTGGTATCCAAACATATAAAATGCAATTCACAACAATAGAGAAATTGGTGTTTCAAATTTGAACGTTTACTTATCTTATTAATTAATTAAAATAACATTCCAAATGAACCAAAATAAATAAATAAATAATGAACAAAAGAAATTTTCCTTACACTATCATTTGTGAACAGATGAGCATACATGTATAATTGTCTGATCCTTTTCATGCAAGTTGTTGGGACATTATCCCAGATTAAGGGTCAAAATAAGACTTTAGTCTTGTTATGGAACATCGATATATATATATATATATGTGTGTGTGTGTGTGTGTGTGTGTGTGTATTTGTGGGCTTGATTTTTTTTTTTGTTTTTTTCTCTTTGTTGGGTGATTGTTGAACATTGACTGTTGAAACCACTAAAATTCCAACTTTTCTTCCTCTCAGAAGACAAGGACATTTCTGTTCATCAAAAGGTTTCTTCTTCTAATCAAGATATTGAACTATATGAACATCCAAATGTTTAATTTGTTTATGTTTGTTTGAATAGATTTCATTTGACACATGAGCTAGCCTCAAGCATTTAATTAATGGAGTGTTGTTTCATTACGACTCAGCTTAGCTAAAATTTGTTGACGAAGAATTCTTAATTTAATAGGCCAATAAGTTTCATGCTTAACCTAAAAGAAACATTTAACTTGGAGTCAAATTTTGAAATGTAAGTTAAATAATGCATTTATCCATTTCTTTGGATCTCAATGAATTCCGCTTTAATTTTGACTTAAATCTTTGTCAAATACTGAATAATAAATATAAAAAATATATATATTTTCTTTACATCGAAAAGCCTACTTTTCCTTCACATGAATTCACATGTGTCACTACGCAATACACCATAATGCAACATATACATAAAAAGCTACGCAATATACCATAATGCAACAGATACGAAAAAAGTTATTGCATAAATGATGTGTGTTGTTAAATACGATGCAACGTCGTGACTGTTGCGCAATCAAACAAAAAACACAATAAATAAATCAAACACACACACAACAAGAATACAAAAGTTTTACTTGGTTCATCCAAAATTCAGGATTACGTCAAAGGGTTATAGGGATTTCACTATGATGATAAAAAAAATAATAGCGGATACAGAGAGTTCAGAATGAATAAATACCCTCGCACTAGGGTAACATAACAAGTACGGAAATAACCAAAAGTTGAATTCGCGAAGTTATTTTTATTAGGTTTTAATATTTTTAACTTAGAGTCAAATGCAAGTTAAAAATGCATTTACACGTTTGTTTGAATGTAAAATATTTTTTTTATTTTTTGGTATTTAATTGTTGTAAAATATTTTCGAAGAAAAAAATATTAAAACCTAATAAAAATAACTCACTCATTGATTTTTGACAAGTTAGTTTATACGTGACCCCATCCGATGAACTTGATCTTAATATCGACTTAAATTTTTATCAAAAACCAAATAATAAAAATAAAAAATATATTTTACCTGAAAAAAATATATATATTTTCCTTAACGGAGCCCAGTTTTCATGTGATATACAATAAAGTTTTCATGTGATATACAATAATGCAACCGATACAGAAAAAGCTACGCAATGCACCATAATGCAATAAATACAGAAAAAGCCTACGCAATACACCGTAATGTAACAGATATAAAAAAAATTTGTTGCATAAACGAGGTGTATTGTTAAACATCGATGGAGGGTCGTGACACTGACACATAATGAAAAGGCAGGGGAATAATTCCGGCTCTACTCACACACACCTAGGTGCCTCTATGTACTGAATTTCATTTTCTTATTACGCCATCAATTTTTTTTTTGTCATTGTCTTCATCGTTGAAGCAACCACTTGTTGTTGCTTAGACGAGGACAAAGGAAAGACGTAACGGTAGTGGCGGTGGCGTGGATCAGAGTCAGCAACAACTACTTTCTTAAGGTTGGCGGCAGAGATGGTGGATTGGGGTGGGGTTGGGTGGGTGGAAGTGACAGTTTCTGCACGCGGTGAACATGTTTATTGTTTGGTGATGAATCAGACCGGCCAATCCCTATCTCAACTCCACAAAATTACATAAACCTCGTACTAATCTATCTGAAACATAGTTTTATCAAATACTTAATTAAATTATTAATTACCAACAAGTATCAGTACTGTGTCACTGCACAGTCACATGAGAATCAAAGGGTATATGTGTGTGTATCAGTGGGTATACGTGTGTGTGTGTGAATCAGTGGGTATATGTGTGTGTGTGAAACAGTGGGTGTATACATGCATTTTTTTGAATAAGGGTTTCGGGAATTACATGTAGTATAGGGCAAAATTGATCTAATCAGCTATCTAGAAGTTTGAATATTGTAATCATGTACAAACATGAATCAAATAAGAAAAATGTTTGTTATTACCAAATTCATATATATATATACATACATATATATATATATAGAGAGAGAGAGCACGAGAGATTATTCAATATAAGAGAAGGACCTCTAAAAATTAGAAGAGAAACCTACATCAGACAAAGGATCTTTTATCTACACGATTTAAGATTAAATTTACTAAGATGAAGAAAAGTAACTTATAATCATTATCAATCTAGAAAATGCACATGAGTTCATTCTGGAAAGAAAATAGAATAATCAATGATCTAATCACTACACATACAATTTTGTCAAATTTTGAAGATGGAAGTTTAAGAACAAACAAATAATTAAAGTGACACGACTGTATATGAGAAAAACAAAGTTGTATACAGCTTAAGGCAGCATTGAAAACACAGTGAACTCTAATATCACAACATTATGAACGGCAAGGCCAGTGACCTAGCTGTATCAGCTTCTTACCTCCCAAAAGGAGGTCAAAAGTTCAAGTCTCAGAAAAGACTAGTGTGTGTGAGTACCAATTAAGAAAAAAAAATATATATCACACCATTGACATTGACCCCTTGCCTCTGCATTTCATGTGAATGGAGTTGTTCACATGTTTATGAAGAGAAGACGAGGCTAACACAGTTTTAACAACTGAGATAAAAACCAAAGAGTCAAGTCTAGGACTATGATAAGTTGCTCTGAAGGATTTCAGAGTTACCACTTGAGATCTAATCAATATCCCTGGTTTGCAGATATCCGGGATTTACATTGTAGTTACAAGTTCAAACAATACCTAGTTGGAAAGGTTCCTGGTCACACACACACACACAAAATTCATAACAACTATGAGTCCAAAAAGGAGAAAAGTGTGGATGAGTGGGAGTAAGACTAAATAAATAGGTTTCTGTGGTAAAACCAGGATCACTTGTGATGGTGGCAAAGGATGAACAAAAAATACTGTCTGTTTCCGGTGAGAATCCACCGACGGTCCGATGGATGGTTGGGGAGGAGTGGAAGTTGTCATCTTAGATACTCAAGAGCATCATGGATTAGGATATGGGTAATGGCTGTGTGATTAACTTATCAAATTAAAGGACAAACAACACCGAGGCACATCATATTTTATGGAGAAAAAAAGAACAAGGAAGTTGATAGATATCATGCCATCAAGAGGGAGATAAAGATAATATGATTGCGGGAGCTGGGGCTTGGGGAGTAACTTACCAGGACAATGAGCATATTTGTAGTGTGTTTTTCAAAGCATAAGTGGCAAAACAATAAAATTAAGAAATTAAGAACCAAAATTCATCTGCATAAAGTTCAGACATATCCCAGAAACAGGACAAGAAAGAGATAATGACTGTCCACTAAATTAGTTTGGTCATGAACACAAGCTGGGGTTTATGTAGTTCTTGGTTGAAGAAGCAACAAGAACTAGAGGATGCCCAAAAGAATATCTGATTCAAGGCTGAGATATTGTGACTTGTTGAAGTACCGGGCATAGAAGAACGGTGAGAAGAGCTTTATGCAATCAATCTAAATTATAGTCAAGTTAAGCAATTAAACAGTCCATTCCCATAGAAGAAGTTCACGAAAACAAATAATCAAAGAAGTTCCCTAAATCGAATAATCAAACTAACAAAAAGATTAATGCATTCCCTCTGCAAGATCTTAGGCACGAAATGCAAATTAAGCACTTCCGATTTCTCACAAACCATGAACAATAAAATCTGAAACAACATCTAACTCAAAGCTCTTGCTACTTATAGTACATTTATTAAATAATTGACATACGAGCTGAACATACACAGATCACAATATGAGTTTGAATTTTATACAATATGATCTCAGATCACTTTCATGTTCATTGACAGTAGTAACATCAATAATATAACATACAAAGGGGAAAAAGAAGACCGAGTTTCTTATTACTATCAGAAATACATACCACAAACCAATATCAAAAAAAAGGAAGGCATTATAATAGAAAATTTTATAGGTAAACCACATCCATGGCTGCAAAATTGTTTCTTGATTCTTTACACCCAACTCACCGGTTTATGGCTGTGAAGTCCTGATCTGCTGCTTGATGTTGTCCGTAGGGAGCTGAGCATCCGACGTCATGGTTTGGTGTTGAGCAGCCATTTGAGGTGCCATAGCCCGAGAATAGTATACTTGGGCATGTGTGGGATCAGCAAATTCATAAGCATAATTACCACCACCAGCCGAAGTAGGGGCCATCGACTGAGATGGATGATGCATCTGAGAGAACCCAATATACTGTGCCTGATGCTGATGCTGACTAGAAGGCACTTGCATAAACTGTTGTCCTGATGAGGCTGCTGTTCTGTACAGACCTGCAACTATTTCGGGTTTAGCAGCACCAACAGCATTTCTTGCAGGATTGTAAGTGCCCGAGTTCGGGATCATGGTTGGAGGAGGAGGCTTTTGGGGCCGATTAGAAGGGACAGGAGCGGCAGCTTCGCTATAATCCGATTGCTGAACAGACAAGTTATAAGCTTGGGTTGGCCGAGCGGCCATGTAGTACACTGGGTACTGCTGATCAAGTCCATGGTGGGGGTGCATTTGGGGGTTCTGTTGCTGGGATGGGTATATAGGGTAGTAAGATGGGACACCAGTGGAGTGATGTTGGATGTATTGTGCATTGGCCTGAATGAATGACTGTTGCTGTTGCTGATTCAATTGCTGTTGTTGATTCAATTGCTGTTGTTGTTGATTCAATTGTTGCTGTTGATGTTGATTCAATTGTTGCTGTTGTTGATTGAATTGCTGTTGTTGTTGTTGATCAAATTGGGTTTGTAGTACAAACCCAGAATTTGAGTTTGGATCAGATGAATCAACAGGTTTAACAAGAACTCTGTTATTTCCAGAAGAGATTTGAACCATAGGATCTTGATAAATCATTGGTCTTTGTCGAGACAATGGGTTTGTTATACTACCATCACTGTGAAATTCAAACAATTATGACTAAATATACATGTTCAAACAATTATGATTTACATATGCACATAAATGTAAACATGAATAGAATGAAAATTGGAAGAACTTAAAATATGTAGAAAATTTGGTACCTTGAAACTGAATCTGGGGAAGTTAAATCAGGACCACCACTTTGTTTTGGCTGTGGCTGTGGTTGTGGTGGTTTTCGATACGCTGCGGACATCCTCTGCTCTGATCTTTCATCATCAGAGATGAGCCGATTGGAATACTCACCGGAAACACCTGCTGGCACGCCGGACACCGTCGTTGCCACCGCAACAGTAGTCAAAGCAGTAGGTGGTGAAGACAGAACCATAAACCCTCCATCATCTTGCTTCTGCACAGCAGCCCCAGCACTCATCTGCGAGAACTGTTCCTCAATTCCGCCCATCATCGCCACCCTGGGATCCTCCACGTGAACCCGAATCGGCGGCAAGTTCGCGAGCGACGGAGATGACGAAGTTGACCCGAACGACGACGTCGTCTCCAGCATCGGCGAATCAGGCACCGAATGAACATCCTGAAAACCCTGCTTGTTGCTGTTGCTGTTGTTGCTGCCACTAACCCCTTTAGCATTCCCAAACGATTCAATCTGCGCCTCCACGTCTTTGGAATTCACATTCCCGGTGATCGCGACATCGTCGTCGAGTCCCAGTAAGCAATTCACCGACACCGAATCAGAAAGCCCTCTATTCGCGCCGTTGAGAGCGTCGAGGAACCAATCCTCTGATTTCGTAGAGTTCTCGAGCAGAGACCCAATTGAGGCGGCCGACTCGGGTTTCGACGGGAACAGAAAGAGACGGAGGCGAGACGACTTTTGAACGGCGGCGCCCGCCGTGGTGGTGAGCCGGTCGAATTCTTCGATCATGTTTTCGAGGTCTTCGTCGGTGGTGACGGAGATTAAGGAATCGAGGTCTTCGTTTGGAAGCTGGTACTTGAGCGTGAACGATTGGCCACTGAGGAGGGTTTTGGAGAGACGGTTGGTAAGGTCGGAGAGGGTTGTTTGACGCTCGGCGACGACAATCCGGGTATCGCCGCCGACGTAGCACAATGACTTGTCGTGCGGGCGGGGGACTATGTGGCCGCCGTAGCTGCACATCAGGCGGAGCTTAGCACCGCCGCCAGAGACGGCTGGGGTGAGTGAATCGTCAAAGGAATCATTGTTTCGGGAACGTGGGGACGACTCAACTGAGTCAGCGTAGTTGAGGTGGACCGACGCGCCGGTGAGTGGCGGTGCAGGTGGTGGAGCCTCCATGTGGGTGGGAAGTTGGAGGTGGTATGCTCCTTCCGGGAGGAGAGAGAAAAAGGAGGGGGCTTGTTTAGTGGGAGTTGGATGCTCTTATAGTAGCTCCAGCTGTTAATTTTTGTATTTTATTTGATTAATTTATTATATTATTATTATTATTATTATTTTTGTATTTAATTTTTGCTGTTTGGGGGAAAAGAAAAGAAAAGAAAAGAAAAGGTGTGTGACATTTGGGTCTTCTGTTCTGTGCAAAAAATATAAAAAGAAGGCAAACCAGGTTGGGTTTGAATCTGTGTACTAGTCAGGGTGTCATATGGTTTGACAGCTAGTTGGCTTAGTCAGAAAAAAATAAAATCTAGTTGGACCCCACTTGGCAACTGTCATGGTAACTTTGTAAGTAAGTAAATAAATTAATGTGGGGAAAAATAAATAAATAATTAATTAATTAATGCAGCTTTTGATATTATGGAATCCCAATCTTGAAATTAAAATTAAAGGGAATTTTTTTAAAAATAGTATCTTAAATTTAGATTTACTTTAAAATGATGAGAAGATTAAATAAAAACTGTCACTTAATTGAACATGTTTAATGCCAAAAGATAAATAGTTTTTTTAAAAAAAATAAGTAGTAAATACCATACAAATCATATGTTTTTAAAAGGAGTAATACTATACAAACCAAATTAAATAGAATCAACATTTCTAATCCACTGATAGATTCACATAAATCGTTGGATGATAACATGTGTTTGGGAAAAAAAATGAAATGAATTGAGGGAACTGTGTTAATCACGTATTGTGTTTAGTTAATTAATAAAAAATAAAAATAAAATAAAAAGATAATAATAATGTTTGAAGAAAGAATTGAATGGTACTATTTAATGAATTTACTATCTTATTCTTTTTCATATGTTTCGTTTTTTTTTTTATTTAAATAACAAGAATTGTGGCAAAATCAGGAAAACTTTTATTAAACTTTATAGCATTTTTTCTTTCATTTTCTTCCATTATTGGAAGGAAAACAAAACTCACCTTTCATGTCTAATTTATATCTCTCCAAATTCATTCATTTCCTTTAATGGTTTATATTAAACATAATACAATCATGGTTTAACCCTTTTTCAATGGTTCGTTACACACTTTCAAGAATCGATCGATTCATATTCATCCAAATCTGTTACACCCTGACTAATAATGAGACTATAAACCATAAATATAGCATTCCCTTTCATGACCTTTCTTTTCTTTTTCCTTCATTTCTCTGCAACCAAACTAAGTCTTAATGTATGAAAAAAGATACCATGTCGACAAACAGCCGGCGAGTGGGAGTTAGATGTAGAGACCACTCACTATTAGTTGACCAATATCTACAAGTGTAAAATTAATGACAAATTATTTATGAAAATGGAACATGTTACCGATTTCATTTCTAAATGCGATATGATTACTTTTAAGCCTAACATTTTAATTAAGTTTCCAATAGGTGTTTTGTTGGATGTATGTATAATATCTCATTATAAATTATCATTTAATGTTTTTTTTTTTTTTTTTTTAAGTTAAAGTTAGAAAAAGGTGAGATAATATGTGGCCGTTTATCATTTAATGTTAGATAATCACAATTTTCAAATTGAGTTGTCACATAAAAAAATATGAAAGTGACATTTAAAAAAAATAAAAATAAATAGAGAAGTATATAATCAATCTCTTGTCTGAAAGTGATAGGAACTAGATGAGACATATATACAATCTTCTATTTAGTGCAAAGAGGATAATTTTTTTTTATTTTTTATATATAAATATTTTTAAACTTTTAGGTAGCAACTGTTCCTTTCCCCTTTCACTAGTGTAAGAGTTGTCACTTTTTAATTTTGGAAAGATGAATGGTATCAGTTTTGTGTTATATATATAAGAGTTGTTATAGTGAATTAACCTAATCGAATATTTTTGATTGGTTATTTATGCACAATATATGTAAGTGGAGGGTCCATTCATTTATTTATTTCATTTGTTGTGGTGAATTGTCAAATCTATTTATTTTAATTGGTCCATTTATGCATAAATAAATAAGTGGGGCCCTCCACTTAATGTGTTGGGCATAAATAATTAATAAGAAACATTTGGTTAGATTATTCACTACAACAAAATCGGTGTAAGAATTATTACTCTTTTAATCATAAAATTGTATAAAAATGAAGCTTGTCTCATAACTGCCTTTTATAGTTATGAAAATAATTTTGTGTTTTTTAAAATTCTTGGACAACAATTTTTAGAGTTACAAATTAAGCCGAATCTAAATAATTTATTAATTGTGTGTCTATGTTCATTTTTTTTTTTTTTTTCGAAACTTATCATCTTTACCTTATTCCATATGAAAATGGTCAGACACATGAATTCCTTTTTATTGCTAATTTATCGTCTATCAATTTCGTGACCGAAATTGCTAAATAATAAGGTTCACACTTCAAAACCAGAAACATATGATTAAAGGTCAAAGTCATGTTAGGTCGGAGCCCACACTTGGGGAAGAATTCCTCAGTAAGTATGAGGAGCCCAAAAAAACAAGGACCTAATCGGTTCAGTATTTTAAAAGCAATTCTCAAAACAAATACAGAGTAATTACAATAATAATCTTGAAAATAAGCTTTCGTTAAAAAAAAAAAAAAAAAAAAAAAAAAAAAAAATTCAAGAACTAAACAAGTTTTTGTGTAACTTTTTGATTTTTAATTTAGTTATTTAAAAATTAAAATATGTTCTTAAAAATTGAACCAAACACCCCCTAAGTTTTCATTTAAGTTGTCCAAGCTCGTATGGGTCATTTCCTTTATATAAAAAACACACAAAAGAAAATGTGTGCAGGGCTATTGTCCTTCCATTTTAGGTACTAAAATAAGTTTGATATTGAACCATACAAAATTGAATGAAAAAGGCTGGGACCCAATGCATTTTCTCAGGCGCTACTTTAGGATTCTGGTCAAAATATAAATCATTTCAGTCACTTGAAACTTACATATATGCATTACAAACCTCCAAAACTTGTAATGTGACAGGCATTAGAATTTATAACCGACGCACATTTATAGTGTACGAGAATTGATTTTCACCCAACAAATCGTACACAGTGTGACATTATAGATCTTAGCCTTTTACAAAAAAAGGGACCACACGCTAATTGAAACCTCGTTTCATGACATTGTAATGCCTATGATGTTCAATGTATAAACCCCAAGTTAATTATGTACCCTAACTTATCCCCATCTCTCTCTCTCTCTCTCTCTCTCTCAACAAAAAATATATATATATATATATATATATGTATATATATATATATATCCCATGATCGATTGCGATTGCGGTATAATAAATTTGAACAAAGTCAATATAAATTGGTCGATACGAATCTTGAAAAAGAGTCGCGTATCGGACGATACAGCAAACTATGAATTTACACACACACATTATTTTTGCGAATCCTGCTTTATTTAAATACGGATAAGATTGGCAATGGCGATGATGTGGTGTATGTGATGGTTATGGAGGTGGCGATCACCATGGTGGAAGGCGTTGTGGCAGTCCAAAGTTAAATGAGATTAAATAAATTGATAATTTTTTTCCTTTTAAGAACCTAGCCTTATAGTCATTTCACAAATAATATCTAATTAAAGGAATTTTAATTTCTTAAAAAATTAAAAAAATTATTATATAATTAACCGTACGATTAGATCTTAAGGTTACAATTAAAAGTGATTATATTACTCCTACTCACCAAGGAACAGTTAAACACTTTTATATATATATATATATATATATATATATATATATATATATATAAAACATTCTTTTGAATCTTGCCTTACTTTCATACTTAACAGAGTAGGCCATATAAATTATTGGGTAAATTGCACCTTAAATTTTTATCAACGTCACTCAACATACGGTTAATAAATTTTTTTTACATTGACATCTCCTGATATTTCAAAAATATGCATTGACACCCCCTCCAATTAGTGGTGTTCAAAAAATCGGGTAAACCGAAAAACAGGACCGACCGTACTGAATTGGATAGTTTGGGCTAGTTGTATAACGGTTTGATCCGGTCTTGGGCCCAAAATTATAGAACCGTAATTTTTTGGTCCGATCCTAGTTTAGGGTCGTGCTAGACCGGACCAGCACAGACCGAACCGTTACTATGTTATATAATATATATTTATATATGTATATCATATCATAAACCCTAAATCAATTAAAGTTCTCATGTGCTCCCTTTTTTTCTTTTGTTCTTTAAATTTCTTTTTAAAAAAGTCAAAATTTTCTTTTCAAATATATTTCAATTTTCTTTCCTATTTATTTATTTTTTTTTTAACTTTTTTGCATATTATATCAATGTTAGTTGATTTTTTTTTTTTTTTTTTTTAAAAAAAAAAAACTTTGTCCCCTCAAAATTAAAATAAAATAAAAAGAAAATCAACTGAGACCGACAAACTGAATTGAACCAAACCAGTTTTTTGTGGTTTGGTTTGGTTTGGTTCCATGAATATTATGGTTCGGTCTGCTTTCAAAAATAGTGAAACCGTTATAAATGGTTTGGCCCCAAAACTTTCTCAATCCGGTCTAAACCGGACCATGTGCACCCCTACCTCCAACCTTTGAAACTATATGAAATTACCTTTTAACCCTTTGACTTGTCAATAACTTCATTTAAATCATAAAATTACAAATTTAACATCCTAACTAAATTTAATGGACCAAACAAACCTCTTCATCTCTTCCATACATATAGACATGGTTTATATATAATAATACTTATACCACTATAACCACCACCACAACATAAAAATAAAAAATTAAATTAAATTTTTTTTTTTAAATAGCTAGATAATTTTACACCACCATAACCACCACCACAACATAAAAATAAAAAAGAAAAAATAAATAAATTTTTTTAAATAACCAAATAACTATACACCACCATAATCAATGCCGCAACATAAAAATAAAAAATAAAAAATATTTTTTTTTATTAGACAAATAATTGTACACCACTATAACCTCCACCACAACATAAAAATAATAAATAATA